TGGCTTCTATTCTACCCACCCAAGGGACACGTCATCTTCCACCTGAGGCTCTGGAGCCTTCACACCAAAATGGCAGTGCCTTATTTGACCGTCCCCTCTGAAACTCTTCCTGATGCCCTGTGCCTCGGGTGGAAAAGTGGCTGTCCAGGGCCACATGGTTCCTCAAACCCAGAGCCTGCCTTGGACTTCTGCCCTGGATGACCAGCCTGGCTCATGGGGCCCTTGCCAGCCTGTCAGGCAAGGTTATAGGGCAGAACCTCTCTTTTGGAGTCTTGGCCCTCTGAGGTCAGGCTGGGCAGAAGTAAAGGGGCATTGGTAGCCAAGAGCCTGGCCTGGCTGCTGCCCTGGAGACGTGCCTGCTCAAAAATAGCCAGATTTTTAAAAATAACCAGCAGCTTTTGTTTGCCTTTTGCTTTAAAAGACATTTTTTCCCTCTGCAAAGAGCTGTGCAGTAGCAGAAAGGTCAGCCTGCCTTGGCAGCTGAGTAGAGGAGGCGTGGCAGGGGAGGGCTGAGGCCAGGGGTCTGTGCCCCTCCCAGGTCACACCTCGGCCATTGCTATGGCCCTCGGAGCAGTGACCAGGTTGGAGACAGATGGGGAGTTACTAGGGCACAGCCTTCCCTGTCTTCCAGTGTCTGCAGCCAGAAGGCCCTTGAGGATGGCTGCCCAGGGCTCCTATGTGACAGACAGGCCTAGCCGGACAAGCGGGCAGAAGGTGGGATGGTTAAGCGCATCCCTGAACAGTGACAGGAGTTTCCATGCCCCTGTACTCTGCCCATCAGTGTTTGTGAAGTGTACTCAGCTAAGGAAAATGCAGGGCCAGCTGACTGGGGAGAGCCAGAGCATCCAGCAAGTGTGCAGCCTGGGGTTGGCCCAGGGAAAGGCGGGGGTGGGCCCCAGGGACTCATGAGGGCCAGGCTGCCAGCTCCCAGGAGCAGCCAGTGTCCATATCTGCCATATCTAAGTGTCCCCTCCTCTTTCCCCATTCTTCATGGATCCCTCTGTCCTGGCACACCGTCCCAGACCTCCTGGGATTCCAGTTTGGGCCCACAGGGTACAGAAGTTGAGGCATGGTACTGGGTTGAAGGTTGTCCTTGAAGAGGCTGGAATTCCTCTCCCCGCTGGGTGGGGGATCTCCCTGCCCTCCCCCCATAGGGAAGTGAGCAATGACCTCAGAGCTGGCAGCTCATGAATAGGCCTGTGCCCCCACCCTGGAGAGGCTGTGCTTGGCCCCACCCCTTTGTCTGGGGGTCCTGGGACTCTGCCCCACCTGAAGTCTGAGCAGCTTGGGTCTCCCTAAGGCTAGAGCCCCCAAAAGATGTGGTTCATCCATATAAGGTACCAGGTGGCTTCAGGTTGACTCAAGCTGGAGTGGGAGTGCCTCTGAGCCTTGTTTTGAGTCTTAGGGCACCTGTTCTACTTCCCCATGGGATCCTAGGCACTTGGGTGACTGGCTGCAGCAGGTGACAGGAGGGTCTAGCCTACCCACACTGTTGGTTTTCTTAGCTCTAACAGTAGGGGCAGAGCCCAGCCTCGACAATGGCCTCTCCCCTTTGTTGTTCTTGGTACAGCCTTCAGGACTTGCAGGGGGCGGGGCATTTCTTTCAGCTTCCAGGCTCATCGACAGGATGTGGAAATCATGTCTCTCTTCTTCAGCATATGAAAGGCTGAGCCTGGGGTGGGTACTGGTGGGTTACCCTAGAAGCATATGGGGAGGGACAAGGCTGGCCTGCCAGCACTGTTGGCACAGTAGGGATAACCTAGGGCATGTAGGTGGCAGAGGAAGCCAAGCTGCCAGGTACTGCCCAACAGTGAATGAGGGGCTCCCATGGCACAAAAGCCTGGACCAACGGAGAGGGCCATTAGCCTTTATGAGGGAGCTACAAGTGGGGTGTGTGTGTGTTTCTGGGGCTGGATTTCAGGATCCCATGAATGCTTGACGAGTGTCTTACCACTGAGCTACAGCCCTAGTCCTCAGCACCTCTGAACGTGGGCAAATTGTCCACCCAGTGCCTTCACCCCTTCAATCCTAAGGGATTCGTTTCTGACAGGCCAGGTCTCGGCATGGATGACTGAGGAACCACCTGCTTCATCTTACTCTTTGGGTAGATTCAGTCTGTGCATTCTTTCTTTCTTTTTTTTTTGTCTTTTTGAAGCAGGGTCTCCCTGTAGCCCCAGCTGTCCTGGAACTCACTATGTAGACCAGGCTGACATTGAACTCACAGAGATCCGCCTGTCTCTACTTCTCAAGTGCTGGGACTACAGGCGTGTGCTACCACGTCTGTGCATTCTTAACTCCATAGTATCACTGTAGGTAAGCAGAGATTGGTGGTAATAGAGAGATTGGGGGTGTCTCAGGTGAGGAGGGAACCCAGCAGGTGGGCAGGAGCTTTAGCCTGTGGAGAGAGGATAGTCCTTGGGGACATCCAGGGCTAAGGTAGTTGGTCAGGCTGCAGTCAAGGGAGGGCTTCCTTCGGGAGGTGTCCTGTAAGAACTTGTCATGTGGTGCTGGGGCCCCATGGCTGTACCCTCATAGTTTGCTGAAGAAGAGACCCATGAAGTCCTCAGGGTTAGAGTTAACAATTCCAGCACTATTCAAAAGTTCAAAGTTCAAAGTACCAATACTTAAGGCATACTGTTAACTGTGAGTCTCTGTAAAATCAAAAAGTTAAAAACTTCTAGTATATATTGATGCTTCCACTCTGAAAGGGAAGAATGGGACAAAAGCCAGAATGACAGGCACCAAATCCTATAGTTGGATCCTCAGCATTTGTAGTGACATCATCTGGGCCCCAACAGGCTTAGCTAGCTCCATCCAAATGGCCTGCGTTTATAGCCTAGGTGGCCTCTGGGGCTGGCTGTGCTTGGTGCTTGTAGCTCTTCCTTATAGATCTTCCAAGTTTCTGGCATCTCAATATCCTGGGGTCCCCACTGCTGCTCAGCCCACACCCAGATAGCCTCGTGTGTAGCCCTCTTAAGCCCTCCCTGCAGGGAGTCTGACCCTCTTACACATTGCCTGGCCTTACAGGCTTTTCTCAGAAATCTTGGGGAATGCCTCCATGACCCCCATAACTCTTGTGTTCTGTGTGGCTGTAAAAACCAGTATCATGTGAATTAGTGCCAGGTTCTGTCACCAGCCTAAGCAGTAGATTGACCCCCTGGAATCACAGCTCCAGTGGCTTCTAAGTGACTGGGTGGTAGAACCAAGGAAGAACTTCCCTGGGCAGCCTTGTGCCAGAAGAGTGCCCTAGAAACAGTATAAAGAAAGCCTTTCAATGAGTTTGTAGTTTTACACCATGGAGCCCAGGGTGGGCAGTGCCTCCTCAATTCATAGAATGCCTTCAAGGGAACTTTCCTATTTTTCCCAGTGCTAATTGTGTAATGTCTTATAAGTTACTAATCTCTTTAACAATTACACTCAGATGAGCTTTCTTTCCACCTAGGCTGCACGTTTTCCACGTTTGCCCCATTTTTCACTCCTGAGTCTCATTGTAAAGCTGGCTAAAAGCAGCCAGCAATAACCATGACGCAGCCTGAATGTTATGCTGTCTTGAAATTTTTTCCACCAAATTAATTGGTCCATTACTTTGAATTCTGCCTCATTCCTATTTTCAGGGTGTGGACATAATGTAGACAAACCCTTTGCTAGAACGGAACACAAATGGCCTCTAGTCCAATTTCCTGTAGGGTGGTTGTTGTAGTCTGAAAGCTCATGAGCCTTCACTGTCCACATTTCTTTTGGTGGGGGGATCTTTTTTTTGGTCTTTTTGAGACAGTGCCTCCCTGTAGCCCCAAATGTCCTAGAACTCACTATGTAGACCAGGCTGGCCTCGAACTCACAGAGATCCGCCTGCCTCTGCCTCCAAGTGCTGGGATTAAAGGTGTGCGCCACCACACC